CATATTTCCTTATATTGTAATTTTTCACTTTTTTCACAGCGGCCATACTATAGGGTATGACAATATTATCTATGTCGTAGGAATCATCTTCCCTTCTTTTCCTACCATCCTCACTTCTATCCCTTTCCCTTTTATCATTTTTGTCTTTGGACGACAAAAAGGGACCGGGAAAAGACGACTCGGGCGACGCTCCCCTCCTACTACTCCTTCCATCTCTATCACCTGAGACGATTTTCACAGACATTTCGCCATCTTCTTCGCTATCACCGTCTAAGGAAAAATTAAAGAGAAAAAAAAAAAAAAATATATATATACTTAAACTTTGGCAAGAATTTAAAATGGCAAAGGAGAAGACGACCTTTTTTTTAAAAAAAAAAAAAAAAAAAAAAAAAAATTATTCTATTTTTTTTAATTAATTCTCGGAGTTGAACAAAATAAAAATCTTCTGCCATCGACACATCGTCATTGTATACAAATAAAACATTTGGTCATCACGATGACATCATCATCACTCGCTGAACTACTCTTACTTAACAACGAGTCTACTTCTTACCTAAATTAGACCTTAAAGAATGTTTTCTAATTTTTTTGAATTTCAGGAGAGACAAAGGCAAGTTCTCAGTATTTGTTAAGTCCCTTCGTTTTCTCTGGTTGGCAGACCACTTTTTGTTTAGTTCTGTAAATCAAAATATTATTAGACGACAGAATAAAAACATGCAAATATTATCTGTCGAACAATCTTTTTTTTTTTATAACTACTAAAATAAGATGGCTAATGTTCAATAAATAAATAAATAAATAAATAAATTGCTAAATCTAAAACAATCTAAAACAAATTTTTCATTATTCCTAATAAAATTAAAACTCCGAAAAAAAAAAAAAACCAACATATCAAACATGACAAAAATTGATTTTAGAAAATAAAAATAAAACTAACAAAGAGATACCATTTAAAAAATGGCGACCAAAAAAATCATAATTGGTTAATAATAAAAAACAAGACGAGCATTTTTTCAAACATCCCTGTAACATTCATACGAAAAATTCCAACAAATTAAATTTTTGGTATTATGTAACATTCAATCAATTTAAAACAATTTTTTTTTTACAATAAATTTAAATTTTTTTCTACAAAAAATTTTAGGAAACCATATTTATATATAATCTTAATTAAATTTCTCAATAAACTGAAACTCTTTAAATAAATAAAAAGTTTTGGAAGAATTTAACAACAATAAATAAATTAGTTAAAAATATGACGTCATCAAGTAAATAAGTACCAAATGATTCCCTGGTGTAATCAAATCAATTATTTTTTTTATTAATCACATCGTTAATTAATATATATAAATATTCTTAATAATTAATAAATTAAAAAGCGTGCACGTGCAAAATTTTTTCAGGCAGAAAAAAAAAAATCAAAAAAATTCACATTAATTAATATAAATCAAACCTAAAATAAATAAATACCCCTGGAAAACATAAAAAACACGTGAAAAAAAAAATAAATAAATACAATCATCAATCATTATATTACTCCAATATAATCCGATTTTAAACTGAATGAATGAATGAATGAATGATTGGCCATAAAGAAAAGCGATTGATTTAAATTTACTTACTCGGCGACAACAAAGTCGGCGTTTGTTTACGAATTTTCCTCAGATTTTTATGTTCCGAGAGTTTTAATTTTTTCTTCAGCCTTTGCCTCTTTTCTAAGCTAGAGTCTTTGTCTTTGTTTGTTGTATATTTGTTAAATTTTAATTTTACATTGTATCGATTTGCTTTCACTTGCCATTCGTGAAGCCTCATAATAGCATCCAGGTGCACAGTAAGTGAGGTATCTGGAAAATTTTTTACACAAATCAATTTTATTTTTTATTTTTGCTATTTAATCTAAGTTTTAATACTTTAATTCATTATTATTATTATTATTATTAATAATTTATGTCTGTACAATTTTATATATATTAAAATATTAACATGGTATACGGTGCCAAAACATAAACAAATTATCAATACCGAAAAAAAAAAATCATTTAAACTTTTTTTTTTTTTTTTTAAATACCTTATGGATTGATAATTAATTTAATACATGAATAAATAAATAAAATTTTAATTTAAATTCTCCTTTTCTCTCCATTACAAAAATCATTTAAAAATTTTAATAAAAACCAGAGCGATTTCCACATTATTTACTTTTATTTTTAAATCTTCAAATTTAAATAACAAAAAAAAAAAAAAAAAAAAAGAAAAAAAAACTTACTTTATGTAACAATAGCTTAAAAATTTACAACATCTAAATAATAAAATTAATTTTCAATAAAATTATTTAATAATAAATAAATTGATAACCCTGTTAAACTTATAATATTTATGTACATATATATATATATAGTATTTATTTATTTGTGTTTAAATACTTGACTTTTAAAACAAAAATGGTTAATTGTTTGTTTACAATTTAATATTTTATAAAACACAGAAATTATTATGATTATTAATATTACAATTACCTCTCTCTCTCTCTCTCTCTCTTTGGTAAATACTTTTTTTTTTTTTTACAAACCTAATCGACACTATAAAAATTAAATTATTTAATATATATAATAATCGCTACTACCTTAGGTACAAAACTCAAAGTGTTCATGACATATAACGTGACACCGCCATAAAAAAAAAATATACATAAAATAAAACTTACCGCTGGGAAATGAAAGTACGGGATGAAAAGAAAAATCTACGGATGCTATTTTTTCGGCCACGTTGAAAGGTTCAAATCGTACGGGTCGTGTAGGATCCGCTCTTCCTGTGCACAAAGCGCACGACAGCGGAGGCCGACATTCGCATCTAATCGACGAGGGCCTTGCTGCTTTTTTAGATATTAGATGCAAACCATTTGTACGCAATAATTTCCTTTTTCTATAAGCACTTTTATCGAAAGGACGTGTCCGACATGCCGACATAGAATCACAGTTATTATTATTATTATTATTATTAATATTATTATTATTTGGAAAGGGTATAGTTCCGTTTAATGTTTCATCGTTTTGTTTCGAGCCAACGGATACGTTTCCTGGCAAAGACCCGCGGTAACCATTCACTGACACTGGAGGAGTAGTTCGCTGTTGTTGTGCGCGTTGCGTGTCCTCGTCCACGAGAACCACAGGACCTTTCCCGGCCCGAATTTGCCTGAAAAAAATTTTTTTTTTTTTTTTTTTTAATTAAAATTTTTTTTTTCTCCCTCCCCTAATCTCATTATTATGTTAACATTCATGTTTAATAATGATATTTACCTGTGGTATTCGGTGTGTTGACGTATTTTATACTCCAAATCAGATATTTGGGCTTGAAGCCACGTCCACCGACTAGCAACTTCCGCACGATCTTGAGACCATCGCCATAAAGCTCTGTTCCCTCTGAAAAAAAAAAAACAACAACCCATAAATGAAATTTTAAAATTTAATGCCACATTTTACTCCTGCCATTTTTTTTTATTTAAAATAAAAAATTATTGAATTTAAACGAAATTCCCGTTGGCTCTCTTAACTCTTTTTTTTTTTTTTTTTTTTTTTTTTTTCAAAAAATATACAAACGGTTAAAGAGTTTAATATTTGTATGAAACCGTTAAAAAATTACGTATTTATTGGCATTTAATTTTAAGTAAAAATATATAAAAAAATTTTTAATATTAATATATATATATATATATATATATATATATAATTAAAAGTT